GACAAATCCCAAAGAAAGGATTTCTATGAAGAAATGTCTGCGACAGTTTCCCAAATACATGTCAGCTTTTCAGGATTTTTGTGTCAAAAGATATTCTAGATGCTGTAGGAAGTCCAAATGCTCAGTTAGAAATACAGTAAACATGTTTGAGCTTTAAATAAAATTAACTTTTTGTGTGTGTGTGTGTAGCCATGATATTTTCTGAAAAATCCTTTCCGTAGGATTTTTTCTCCTGAGAAGCCGAGAGGCCTCAGGAACAAAATGCAAACATTGATTATCTGCTGCTGTGGAATGCAACAGCTGCATCTGGGATTGGCTCATGTGGTTGTTTCTAATTAATGGCCAATCACAGTCCAGCTGTCCAGACTGTCTCAGTCACAAGCCTTTGTTATTAATTCTTTTTCTATTCTTAGCTAGCCTTCTGATGAAATCCTTTCTTCTATTCTTTTAGTATATTTTTCATATAATATATAACATAAAATAATAAATCAAGCCTTCTGAAACATGGAGTCAGATCCTGTTTCCTCATCCTCAGACCCCTGCAAACACCATCACATGTGTGTGCATTTATGAAGTTTTCCGTGTATTTTTCAGAGGCTTCAAAATTCAGTCTGGAAGTTGCCCATTTTTTGAAAGGATAACAAATAATCAATGCAGCTCTGTTCACATGTTTCCAAGGCTAATACCATCAAAACCAATTTTGGAATTACTGTGCTGGAGGAAAGACAGATACACAGCAAGGGGAATCCAAATGACTGTGAGAAGCCAGGGTTACATAATTGGAATTGCAACTAATTTAATAGAAGTTATATTCCACTGAGGGTTCTCCACAGAGATGAAGTTCAAGGGAGCACCAGAGGTCTCAGCAAGAACCAAGAGAAAAGAAACTAATTATGATGTACTCTCCTAAAATGGGAAAATGCACGAGAGGTTTCATTTGAGCTCTCAAGCAGCAGAAGTTTGAAAGAACAGCTTAAAAAGTATCTCAGAGAAGCTGGGGCTCTGAGCCTACTGGGGTGTGGCACCAGAAGAGATTGACACAGAGATTATTTGGAGTTGGATTTAGAAATGCTTTCTAAAACTTGCTTGTATTTGTCCACTTACCTGGTCCTATTTATATCAGAGCACTCTTTGCTTTCATCATCAGAATTCTCTTTGCATTGGCACAAATACCACCAATTTCTAATTTCATTGAACACTGAAGATGTATATTTTCTTAGCAAAAGAACATACATTCATTCATATGGGATTTAGGGGGTTTTCTCATTCCAGTATAAGACAGTGAAGGAAAGTTCAAGTAATTACATTTTTGAGCCTGAAATGTTTGAAGTCAAGATTTACAGGCCTCTATTATTTTCTAATACAAATTCTGACATAAATGTAATAGTATTGCAAGACCTCAGCTCATTTTTCCATAGTGCAAACATTCAGTCTCCACAGTTGCACAAAACATTACAGGACTTCTTTGGCCTGTCAAAAAAAAGTGGTTGAAGAGGAAAGTAGAACAAGCCATCACCTCAAAGATCAGAAAAAACAGACTGAATCCTCTTTTGTGCAAATCTTCCATAGATTTTCTGCATTCAGAATTCGTTAAGACAGATGAGGAATGGAAGTTTTTCTGCTTAGCCTCACGATGTGTTAATTGGATTTTTTTCTCACAGGATGACATCCAGCTGCTGAAGGAGCTGAAGGTGAATCACTACCTCTTGTCCATCTCATGGCCAAGGATTATGCCCACAGGCATCAAAGGTAAGCACAATTTCACCACATTCTTCCCAATATTATCTGTAAGGAATTTTACTCCTGAGTAAGCCACAGTTGTTCAACATTCCTGTTACAGATTCCTGTTTGTCTGCATTTTACCATTACAGAATTCCCAACAGCGTAATGTAAAATTCCTTGGTTAATACTTTTAGATTTCTGTTCTTCCAGTCCTTTGGGAACCACTGCAGGTAATTCCTTGTCTGTGCTTTCCATCAGCTGAACAACTGAATGAGAAGGGAATACAGTTCTACAATGACACAATTAACAGTCTTCTGGAAAACAACATCACCCCTATTGTGAGCCTCTACCACTGGGATCTGCCACAGGTCAGACAATATTTAGTGAAAAACTTCAAATAAAGCCTTCTGATGGAAATAATTTCCTAAGGTTAAGAATTAAGAGTACTTGAAAAAATTAGAGAAGCCTGGATACTTTTAAGAATTTGTAAATATTTCCTTTTCATTTGGATTTTATGTGCATTGAAGTTTTGAAAAATCTCTTTCTGAGCTAGAAATACAAACAGAATTAAATAGAAGTCTCTTTAAGCAGCAGCTGACCTTCAAGTACAATTACTGAATCTTGAAATCCTTATTTCCAAAGGCTCTCCAAGAAAAGTATGGTGGCTGGCAGAACATAAGCATGATTAATTATTTTAATGATTATGCAAATCTGTGTTTTGAGAAGTTTGGTGACCGTGTGAAACACTGGATTACATTCAGCAATCCTTGGGTAAGTCATCAATGCTTTCCTTCCAAACTCTCCCACTGCACTGCTCTGTTCCCAAAATTCTGTGGGAGTGACACTAGAGGAGAGTAGGGGAAAAAAACGGAGAGAGAAGGGGAAACATTTAAACCATTAATCTTTGTGGCCAAAAATCTCAGCAGGCAGATTTTGCACAAGGGCAGGGTTTTAATACATGAAAGTCCAGGAAATTTTTGAAAACTCCTCAGCTGGAGAGACTGAAATTAGAAATTGTGAACTGGAAAGGCAGTTGTTATTTACCCTTCCCCATTCCTCAGCTGACCCCTTTAACCCTGCTCACCAACAGCCTGCTCCCAATGCCACAGCTGGGTACCAGGCAGGGAATGGGAGCCAGGAAGGGAAGAGGGGGTTGGAGAGGGCCAGCCCAGCAGGATGCAGAGTTTGGAGCACATCCCCTGGCTCTGACTGTGCCTCTGTGTGTTTGCAGGCAGTGGCTGAGCAGGGCTATGAAACAGGAGAGCACGCGCCAGGACTGAAGCTCGGCGGCTGCGGTGCCTACAAGGCTGCTCATCACATCATTAAAGTAAAAACCTCCTGAAACTGGGCCTGAAATTATGTGTCAATTCAGGATTTTTATCAGATTTCCCTCCTTAAATTGAAATGTAGTTTCACAGCCCTGTAATTTCCAAGTAGGACACTGAAATTATCATCTGGCTTTAAACCCCCAGTGCAGAATCCAAGGCACTACCAATGTTTGTTGCTTGATTTAACACTTGCAACTATTTGAATTTCCTTATATTATAAATGTCTCTTCTAGTTTGTTTCTAGGTGGTTGAAAAAGAAAACATCCAGGTTAGTCTAGAAACCAACATCCTGGCCTGTTGAAATGAACCTGAATGTTGCAAGTGACTTCAGGAAGGGAAGTCTCTGGAAAAATGAACTTTCATCTACCTGAATAAATTAGGGAAAGACATCCAAAGAGCAGAGCCATGGGACAGAGCCCTGGCCTGAGGGCTGTGTGTCAGCTCCATGTGCACGTCCTGCAGTTTAGGGAAGGAATCTTGCATAAAGGACTTTGTGATGTCTTACATGAAATGAAGGTTTCTGTAATAAAGACAAAAGAAATTCTGTGGTATTTTCAGGCAGACCTCAGTGCAGAAAGTGCTCACCAGCTTTCCATGCCGTAAGGGATGAAAACGTGCACAGGATTTATTTTATTTTAACATTATTTTTACAGACCCATGCCAAGGTTTGGCACTCCTACAACAGCACCTGGCGCAGGGAGCAGAGAGGTAATGAGGATTCATTCTGTGATTGTGCTGCTGCTCCTATTTAAGGCTTCAAGAAGTGCAGAACTGTCCCTTTGTTTTAAGGGATGGTTGGAATTTCCCTAACGAGTGCCTGGGGGGAACCTGTTGATCCACACAGCCAGACAGACAGAGATGCTGCTGAGAGGTACATCCAGTTCCACCTGGGATGGTTTGCAAACCCCATTTACAGAGGGGACTACCCAGAGGTTATGAAGAATTATGTAGGTAAGTCCCAGTAGCTGTGACATGAACAGATCCACACTTCCAGCACATTACAGGGAGTAACTGCTGGCCACAGCTAAAAGTGAGGGCACAGGGGAGACACAGCAAAGCAAAGGCCCCCAGGCTGGACACGGCTCCTAAAGCACCTTGGGGACACACCAGGACACCTGAAATCACTGTTCCTCCATGTATTGTACCCAGCTTAATTCTCCAAACAGAAAGGATGAAAGATGATCTCATCTCAAAACACCAATTAAGCTCAGGTGCCCTCAACATTAACACTGAATTCAGGAAAACCATACTTGGCCCCAGCACAGGTGCCCAGAGCAGCTGGGGCTGCCCCTGGCAGTGTCCCAGGCCAGGCTGGATGGGGCTGGGAGCACCCTGGCATAGTGGAAGTGTCCCTGCCCATGGCAGGGGGTGAGGTGATGATTTTAAAAATCAATTCCAACCCAAACCATCCAGGATTTTACAATTCTGATTTATTGCTGGTGAGATAAAGAAAACCCATTTCTGTGCTCCTCAGAAGTTGTCTCCTATAATTATTTTGCTAGGTAGGAAGAGTGCCCAGCAGGGCCTGGGGACATCAAGATTACCAACTTTCTCAGTGCAAGAGAAAACCTATATTAAAGGCACCTCGGATTTCCTGGGAATTGGTCATTTTACCACTCGTTATGTTCTGCAGAAGAGCTTTCCCTTCCTCCAAGTGTCCAGTTACCACACTGACCCTGACCTGGCTGAACTGGTGGACCCCAGCTGGCCAGCTCCAGGCCCTAAGTGGCTCTACTCTGTGCCCTGGGGCTTCAGAAGGTTGCTCAACTTCATCAAGGTGAGTAGAGCAGATCTTTAATTAGAAAGGAAGCAAATAAAATGCCTGGTTTAGATTTTGATTTTCAACAGTTCCAGCTATTGGTTTGTCCTAGTAGGAATTTTCTTTGTCAAAAAGCCCTTAATTTCAGCTCAGAAAACTACAGAATTCAGTAATTTTAAAATAAGCCCCATAGTTAACTTAAATTCCTACTACACATTCTTTGTACTTAGGTAAGCAAATGTAGAAAATTGCTTTTCATGCACTTTACTAATTCACACATTCTGCCAAAATGAAATGATTTTATGTGAAGCAATTTAAGCATTTCTGTTTGCAGACCCAGTATGGGAACCCCCTGATTTATGTGACAGAGAATGGAGTGTCTGAAACAATGCAGTGCTCTCAGCTGTGTGACGAGTGGAGGATCCAGTACCTGAAGGGATACATCAATGAGATTCTCAAAGGTCACTTCAAACAGCTTTACACGATTTGACTTTGCAGTATTTTCATCTTCTGCTTATTTTTAACTTTGTCCTTTCAATCACAGGGAAATAACTATTCACAAGTCAAAATGGACAGCAAACCAGACTCAAATTTTCACCAAAATGTCAACCTAAGCAAATGTATCAATACTAATAACTACAATAACCTGCCTGAGATTTAATACTGCAATAAATCATCAGTTTCCACTCTCAGAAAGGAGAGATTACCATGCCCAGAGAGTTCTAGTACCTCTAAGCTAAAGACAACAATTTCAAAGAATCTGAATTAATTTGTACTTCCTTTTTCTGTCCTGCTCCCCATCTCCTCCTGCTATAAAGCAAAACATTTACAGAAGCATATCTAAAGGACAAACCCCACCTTTATCAGTGATTTGTGTTCTCTTTCCAGCTCTAAATGATGGTGTAAATGTCAAAGGTTACACTGCCTGGTCACTGCTGGATAAATTTGAATGGAACAAAGGCTTCTCTGAAAGATTTGGGCTTTACCACATTGACTTCAAAAACAAGAACAAACCACGGTACCCAAAGGCATCTGTTGACTACTATAAAAAGATTATCAGTGCAAATGGATTCCCCAATCCAAGAGAGGTGATGTCAGCTGCTAATTTTGATTTTTTTTTTTCCTTTATGTGCAAATATCACATTGAATTTCAGGAAACAACTTGTATGAATATGGTACAGAAGTGACACTTTGATTCTGTAGAACAGGGATCTGTTTGATGCAGAGATATGCAGATACTGAAAGGGGAACAGACTCAATTACTGTTTCTAAAGCATTCTAGGCAGACTTACTGATGAAGTCAAAAACTCTCCATCAGAAGTTATTTAGCAGTGCTGTCAGATTTGTAGACAGAAAGCTCCACATATGTCCTACCCTACTGCAAAATAACCTGGAATGTATTATGTGCCACTAGAAATTTTATTAAACAATTAACTCTGAGAAATACCCAGAAATAAAAACCACAAAGATACTTTCAGAAACCCATGTGTTGGTAGAATGAAGTGGTTTCAAGTTCAGTGTAGGGATGAGGAGGGAGCTGTGGCAGTGAGGAGGATGCTCAGTCTCACAGCAGTGTCACCCTTGCAGGTGGAGAGCTGGCACCGCCAGGCCATGGGCACCTGCTCTGCCACACACCAACACCTTGCTGCAGGTAAGGAGGCCTCTGGTTTCTCTACAAAAGCAGATTCTGTCAAGTTCAGATATTAAACTGCTCTCTGAATGCTGCTAAAAGGTATTTTCTCCCCAAAAGCACCACAAGCCTCTAAAGAAAAATGTTTTTATTTATTGTCTCCAACTAAAACCATGGTAGCTAAATGGATCAGCTGTGGATGTTACTGAAATACAGCAACTGGAAGAGCTACTACTTAAAATTGAGGTTGGGGATTCTCCTTAAAATAAACTCCTGAATGCTATTTCAAACACAAACCAAACCCAGACAAATCAAGAAAACCACACAGAAAATCTCTAATGTTTGACTTTTCCATAAAGTGGAGCTATAAAAAGAAATAAAAGGGTTAAGGACTGGCCTAAGATTAAATTTGGATTCTGATGCTCCTGGAAACAAAGAAACCCCAACACAACTGATCCAGAACACCTAAAAACCTCCTGGTGTAACTTAGGAACTTTCAGAATTCCTGAAGTAGAGATTTTACTAAGATCAAATAACTACTATAGATTCTCACAAGAGGATGAGTAAACTCCACATGGTATGAAATATTCCAGCAGTCAGCCTAAGTTAATCCTGCTCAGCCTCCTCTTCCAAGTCATGCTCAGTGTGAATGAAATGGGTTTACTGAACTCTTCCAGGCTTCTTTGTGGAACAAAGTTCTACAAAATAAAACCCTTTTAATTTTTCAAACAGATACAGAACAATCATAAAAAGGCCAAAGCTTCCTAAGGATTTCTGTTTGACAATTTTCTTTCACCTTCAGGTGAGGGGAATAAATATCAGAGGACCTGTAAAATATTAATGCACTGCAGCTCATTCACAGTAAGGACAATTTCTGCAGCCCTGTGAGCACTGACATGTCTTCAGAAATAAAAGACAGGGAAAATTATCATGGATTTGCCCCAGCTCTGGCAGACTTAAGAAATTCCATTTGCTTTGTTTGCTGTTTATGCCAATGTCAACATTTTTATGTTCAAAAAAATCTTTATGTTAACTCTAAGTTAGGTATTACTGTACTCCAGGGGATTAAATCTCTTACATATTCCTCATTTCTCAAATTTTAGATTCCCTGATTACTCACATGGAAATGGTGACAGAGATTGTTCTTCCTACAGTTTTCACACTCTGCATTCTCATCAGTATTGTCCTCCTCATATTCTACCTCCGAAACCACAGCTAGAACTGATGTTTGCACACATCCTCATTTGCCAAAAGAACTAAGCTGCAGCTCCTTTATCTGAGTAGTTAAAATTCACCACAGATGCTTCTTTTTATACCCCTGTAATGAAATATTATTTACCAATCCATCTAGAGCTTTTATCATTTTTCTATTCAATTCCCAAATAATCTCTTTGTTTTTACCAAAATACAAAATACATTCTCTTTCCACTAATTCTAAGTAGGAGATTTTACAATCCTTATTATTTTGGAAACTATTACACATTTTGTTAATCGGAAAAATAGTTAAGAGTAAAGTGATTCAAATCATGCCAGTACAAATGTCAAGTGATTAAAAGCTGCTTGCAAATTCTGATTTCAGTCTGTTCATCAACAGCATTTTGATTACCATGTAATTGCTATTTGAAGAAAGACATTATTTTAAAATATAAAAGGACTTAAATATTCCAAGAGCACTGCTTAAATGTGAACTTATTCATGTCTAAAAGCTAGGATAATGTATACCTTGCTATTTAGGTGTGGGGAAGAGTTGCTTGAAGTGAGTAATCCAAGGTGACAACTTCTGAATCACATTTAAACCACATCCCTGCAGTTCAAACTTACCTTGTACAACATTATAATATATTACACATAAAAATGTGAATTTTAAGTAAGCCAGGTACTTCCAAAATTAATATTCCACCTTAAATTCCCTTCTACTGCAGGTAGAAACGAGTACTATAAAAACTTGGTTCCATAATTTAGCTGGCTGTATTTGAAATAAAACTTTGCTTGAAACCAGAAGTTATAAAAATTTATAATAATAATCTATAATTTATATCTTTAAAAATAAGGACTTCCTTATTCTTACTTACCCATAGTTGAGTTTTTAATACAAAATATTTCTGTCTCAGATTATTTAGTCAGCGTGTACAAAATTATGGAATTGTTTAAATTTGACCACCAAAATGTTGCCTCACTGATTAATCAACACAACAAATGCAACTGCCAACATATTTAAATGATTTTGTCCAGCCAATTATACTGATTTTGTTTTGAAAAAAATTATGCAAAACATAGAAGACAACACTGTTAAAATAACTCACTTCACATTGAAGGAATAAAATAATTTGAAGAGGAGAGAGAAGTATTTTCAAGAACACTCCAAAATATAAATACAGGGACAAAGAAACCCAAACTGGCTGAAGATCCCAAGGCCCTGGATGAAGAGCTTTCCAAATCCTTCAGGATGATGAAGCATCACTTGATCCCAGGAGAACATAACAATATTGCTTGGTTTGTTGGTTAAGATAATTCACACTCTGAACAGGGTCTGATTGAATTTTTAATGATCAAAAAATAAAATATGAAACCCCAAAGTGCACAACTTTGTTGAATGCATGTAAATATATGAAAAATATCCACCATATTTACAAAATACTTATACTGTACAGTCATAATTGCACTGCATTTTTAACAAAGGAGGTGCCTACAGGTGAATGGTGGCTGTGGAGGTCCCACTTAAGTGTAACAAAACAAATAAATCAGTGAAGATGAACTGTTTGAAGCCCAGAGTTTCTAAAGGTTCTGCTGGGACAGAAAACACTGAATTTTCCCCCTTTCTGTACCTTTCCAGTCCAGCTTGCTCAGTAACATCAACTTAAGTGAACTGCACCTGACTGCACTGAGTCATGGTAATGAAATACAGCCTTTCTTCACTGCTTCCATTTACTGTGGAGTCACACAAGAAACCTGCAAGGACAGAGGGAAAAGTTGGGATTTGCCACTCCTGTTAGAAGGCAGAGATCAGTCCCTGGAGCAGCTTCCAGAACTGTTCTCAAAGTGCAGTTTCACTGAAGCACTTCATGACACAAATCAATAATGACAGCAAAGATTTACCAAACTCTCACATCAAACCCCACCCCAAAAAGGCAAATCATTTCTGGACCAGTGTCTCTGCTAAACTCTTCCCCATTCTGATGCTTTTCCACTGCTCTGCATTTGCTTGCAGCAAGGCAGATCCTCTCCCCTTTGCACCTTCTCTGACTGGAGACCAACATTAACAACAGGGAAATTTCTCTTCAAAACTCTTCTCAGATTAATTGGCAAACATTTTAGAAATAAGTTGCAAGATTTTTTGGGTATCAATCATCTCATATTTGGAACTATTTTGTCACTTTAAAAATGTAACTCAGCCAAGGTGAGAAGGCAAAAAGTCACCACTTTCTGAATATCCTTATTTCTGTAAATACCACCTCACTCTTTCAGCAGAGGGCAAAATAGCATTTTGCTTTTGCTGAAAAGTAAATAAAAAGCTCAGGCCCACTGAATACAGGATAAAAACTGAATTTGTTTGAAGTTTGTGCTTTGATTATTTCATTTCACCACCAACATTCCCCACCTGAATTGTTGGATGCCACATGTTCAACAGGAGCAGTGGTGCTGACTTGCCACGTTGTTTTAACCTCCTTCTGTCCGTGCCCACTGCTCAGCTCCACCCTCCAGACTTCAGGGTTGTCACTGACAGAATAATCCAAAACCATCAAAACTGAGTCAGGCATGCAGTCACATCTGAATTTCATGCTGCAAAAGCTGAAGTTTCTCTTACTTTTGATAGAATTTCTTCACAAGAGCTGGCCTGATGGGCAGCTGAAACACATGCTTCTCATTCAGAGGGTTTTCCTTGTAATACTTCATGCAAATCCTACAAGAGGTATCAGGTTACTTTCTTTAAAGAAATCCTTGTACAACAGAACAAAAACCTTGTGCAAAATTAGCTATACTCTCATATTTTATTTAGTTTTCCGTTTTAGCTTTTCAGTTTTAGTCCCAAAGCAAAATTTGGTAGGAAGATCCAGCTGCTCCTTCTGCTGTCTCACTATCACCAACATTTTAGAGTTTGTTTGGCAGTTTTAAAGAAACACCAAGTGATTGTCATTTAAAGAGCAAAAGTAGAAATGAAATAATTACTGTGTCAAAGGGAAGAGGTGCTCATGTCTGAACTGCAGCAAGCCTGTACAGCTGACCATTATTTCCAGCATGTGGTGAAGCTTTTGAACACGGTGCACTTGTTCCTGGAGCTCCACTGAAGTGGAAATGAAATAATCCTGGAAGAGCAAAGGCTTCTGCTCTTACCTGAGCACTCCATTGCTACAGACACAACACAGCCTCAGCAAATAAAATCATCTTCCTGCTGCTTTGGAAAAGCCAAGATTTTTGGAGTGGCCCAGCAGACTCAGAACAAAGTCCCATCAAAGTGTGACAAAGGTTCACAGCCTTGGCAGTGACCCAGATCAGGTATTCAGGGAATTATGTGGGAATGAGGAAACAAAACAATGACATTTCTGCATTTCTGACATTTCCAGACTCATGGTCTGCAGCTCAGTTTCTCAGCTTATATAATTTGCATCCCACCATCAGCTAAGCATGCTCTGCTTTATAAAATAAAAATAAAGCATCTCACCAAGTAGGTTCCTGTTGCAAGTTCCTGGCCTGTGAAAGGAACAGCAGGAAAAAAAATTAAAATTTAATACATGGTCTCAGATGAAATATAAGCAACATTCAGATGATCAAACAGGAAATTCTACTAAAGGACAAAGTCAGCAGGAGTGTGATTTTATTTACTGACATGATCATTCATTCCAAACAAGAAAACCCCTCTCAAGTGGCATGGTCAAAGCATGATTTATTTCATTTATCACCAAGGAAGCACAGTGAGGACACTCACTGTGTACTTGGAGACAGCCACCCTCCTCATGACACACAAGTTTACCAAAGTAGTGAAAATAAAAAAACAAATAAACAAAGAATGAGAACAGGATGACAAATGGCAAAAAGAAATGAAGGGGTAACAACAATGGTAAAACACAAAGCTATGTGTCTTTTGAAGCCAGTAATTTTTTAAAATTTTGAAATTTAAAAGCTGGAAAGTCCCATTATTAAAGAAGCTGGAAACTTCACTTCAGCAGATGGGAAGGAAGAGATAGAGGTAACCCAAAAAGTTCATTATTTCCTGCATGGAACACCTTTTCTCCTGAATTCCTAATGCTGTTACCCAGTATCAGGCTCACCTATGAAAAAACTGACATAATCCTTCTTCATCTTCTCCAAGCCAACCTCCAGGAGCATCTGAACGGGAGTGGTGTCACTGAGGGAAACATCCTCCATCTTCCCATGGTAGGACTGCTGGATCAACTGACTTAAGAAACTGCTGCTCCCCTGGTGAATCTAAAAAGAAACAAATCTTTTTGTGATGTGCATGAAACACCATCAACAGTGTTCAGAATTCAACACCAGGGAAACACAATTTAGAAACAACACAAATGAGAGGCAGGGAAAGGACAAGAACTGCATTTACTCTAAACCATTCCAAATTTTAATTTCTGTTGTGAAACACAAACACATACCCATGGCTGGATCTCACCACGTTCCAGGGATTTTATCACCAGTGTGAAACAGTCTATTAACTCCTGATAGGAACTGACACCTGGAAAGCAAACCACAATATTTTAATTATCAGTCCAGCCTCTTTCTCTGGCTGTTAAGTCAGTAACACCAGGCCAACACAGCCTTGCATGAACAAAACCCCTCAGTTAAAGAGAGCTGAAATTACAGACTGCACAGCTTTTTGGCAGCTTTATCATATGATGACTTTAAAAGAAGATTACTCAAAAAAAACAATGGTCAACAGAGACCAGTGAATTCTATATACACTGAAAATTGTCCTTCAGATCCAGAGAAAAAGGAATTATAATTTTTTCAGTTTTAGAGCAGATGGATTTTAGCTTTAGAGTAACTATCAATAGATTAGTACCTTTTGCAGTCAAATAAAATGAAATTATCTCCTGCTAGATGCTGGTCAGCCATTGGAAGGTTTTAAGAAAATAGATCATCCTACATCCCTAAAATGGGCTCTGTTGGGAAGAGAGCAATTGATATTGCTGGTACCAATTTTCTGAAGAGCTGATGAGTCCTTAAAACTCAGAAATGGACAGGAATTTCCCTGAAAAAGCAATACTGTCTAGCAGGTAGAGAAGAAAATGAAAGGAAAACAGGGCACAAAACACTTACTTTTCATTTTGCACCATAATTGCTCAGTGAAATCCAGGTCTCCTCGCTCACCAAAGATTGATTTTATGCAACTGTCCACAGCAGCTGTGTCACATTGGATTTTCTGGAAGAATTTATGAAAATGAAAAAAGGTGCCTTAGAGTCAAAAACCTTCCACATCTGAATTTCTCCAGAGATCAAAACTGGCTGCATCCCTGATTTCCTCCCTTTTCCAGGGAAGTAATTTGGCATTATACTTTGATCTAACAGTGAGTCTGATCCTTTGCAGAATTATCACACTGGGTAACTGCTGGCCTTGGGCCAGGAAACAAAAGCCACTCTCAGAGAGACTTCAGATCTCAGGCAGGTATTTCTGTGTACCCAGCAGTGCCTGGGAGGCCAAAACCCAGACACACTAATTCTCAGAGCAGAGAATTATTTCCCTGTAATCCTCAAACAGAATAGTTCTGTTGACACAGAAATCAATATATTCTTAGATTATCAACAAAATGCTGCTTCTCTCTTAATAGAAAATAAACCTAAACCTTTCCTTATAGGCTGAAAGGGAAAAAAATCTTAATATAACCAAACACATTTTTTATAATTTGAATTTGCCCTTTGCTTCACAATACCATAAACCTCTAGATAAGTAAGACACATGTTCAATTGATACTATTGAATTGGCACCAAATAATTAAATTAGGCAATAAAAGCAAATTAATGATAGAATGCAATGGCAGAAAGGTCAGAATTCCTGGAATAAACCAGACCTTTTCCCATTATTTTTACACAGCAGAGATAGAAAGTCAGAGATCCATATTCCTTTACATCACTATTTCCACATAGAAACAATATACAAGATTTAGCCAAAATCTGAAATAACTGCAGTTAAAATGAAAGGAAAATGACAAAGCAGCTGTTAGAAAATTGCACATACCTGTGTTTCATTCTTGTCTTCAAATATATAATCTCCATCCAGCTTCTTCTTTAAATCTAGTAGAGTTAAAAAAATAAGTTCCACCACTATGAAAAGTGTTATCAAATCAACCATTAATCCCCAGGCACATCATAACTAACAAATACACTGAATAATAGAATTGAGTCATTTAAAAATAATTTTATTGGGTAAGGATATAGTATGAAAATACTTACAAAAATGTTTATTATTATTATTATTATTACTTTGATCTAGGATATTAGGACAAAGAAAAATGACAAATATGTACTAACCTATTGAAGTACTCTGTGCAGTGGTTCCAGCACAGAAATGAACATTTCCTGTTGTAATGCTCTGAAAGTTGTATGTGAATTCCCTTTTATCCCCGTGAATGCCACACCCCTCCCTCCCCATGGAACAAGCAGCACTTACCAGTCAGGAATTGCTGGACCAGCTGAGGAGCTGATTCAGACTCTGATGGCTCAGGCCACTCAGTCACACCCGTCTTCAGCCCTTCAGCCAAAGCCTAAAGCAGCAGGAAAATCCCAACAGAAATCAGCTCTTCCTGGTCCTGCACGTGTCATCTTTCACAGAAAACTTCACCAGGAGTCACAAATCTCTGCACAGCTAACCAGGAGTTACAAATGTTCAGCATTTCCTGGATGCCTTATTCTCTTTCTATTCAAGATTTCTAAAACTGAGCTCAAAGTTTCAGCTAAAAGAAACACTTGAAGTTATCACTGAAAGGTCTGATGAAGTTTCAATAAAGGACATTTTTAGCACATAAAATCCCCCTTCCATGCAAATGTGAATTGGAATTTGTCCCCTGCACTCACCAGGAGGAGCTGCAGCTCTCGGTACAGCTGGAACACAGGACTTCTGGGGTCCCCCGACTCCAGGGCAATGTTCTGAAAGTTCCACAAGTTTATCTCAGTTTCAAAATTTAGAAATCAAGTGTCCTAAAATTTTCATCAGTGAGAAGCATGTCAGCACAATTTATAATTCAGCTTAGATTGCTTTTATCTTCTTTGTACTTCTCATGATGTAAATTGTGCCAAGAGCTTGGGTTTATTTGCCTTTTCCATCCTGACTTACCAGGGTGGCAGCAGAGATCACTGGGGGAGTCTCCAGAATCTTTTCCACACCGTTCCATGTGATATCCACAAAGATGTTGCTGCCAGATTCTGCAATGGTGTCCTCCATGGCAGCAGCTGCAATCAGCTCATACCGAGCAAATCCTTTTGTTGTCACCTAAAATGAACAGATTTCAAAAGTAAAAAACAAAACTACCACAGGCAAAGTGACTTTAAAAGCATTTCACATGCATGCAAAAAAGGGGTTAAAACCAGACAAATGCATTATAAACACGACCTGAAATCAGACTGTTATACTATGGAATTATACTAAGGTGGTTTCTATAGAGGATCTAAAAAGCTTCCCCAAACCACCATCATAAATCCCAAAATAGAGGTTTTAAACTTCAATTGAAGCCATGACAGAGCATAAAAACCTACAAGAGATGAATGATGTCTTATTTTATGTTCCATTTTGAGCTCTTCCAGGTTTGGAAAATGGGTTTTATCAGCTGTAGGACCTGGGAAAGGAAAAAAGTGAGAATCAAAAACCCCATTTGACACAATTCAAATTTGGCACTTCAAATTCATTCCCAAATACTCCATTTGCTGAGGCATGACTCGTGCTGTCCTTTAGAAAGCAGGAATTCTCCCTGCATTTCTCTACTGGTGATATAAGAGCTGATATGAACATATATAAATATTTAGAATGAGCCAGAGGTTGTGTAAGATGCTGAATGGCAGCAGTTTAAAAGTTTAAAAATGAGCTGAGGTAGGCCTGCACAGCTACAGGTGCATCAGGTAGATTAAAAAGCCATTCCCTCTCACAGCATTGGTTAAAAACCTCTTTTCTCTTATTTTAATCCCTTCTTGCTCATTAAATCCAGGAATACAGAGCATTTCCAAGCCAGTATCACACAAAGAACAAAGACAGCGTTGTGACATCAGCAATCCCACATTTTTTAGCTTTCCTCATTTAATTTTCTGAGCACCATGAGCACCTTACCATCACAGGAAACTGTGTAAATATTGATCCCTGTGACTTTGTTTCCAGCCTTGAGAGGCTCAGCTCCAAGCCAGCAGGTGTGCTGAGGGTCAGAGCCATCACACCTGGCCCACAGGGGAGGGAGCACAGCCAGGTCCCTCATCCCCAGCGAGGGCACGTTTGGGTTCTGCACCATCGTGTACAAGGAAATCAACTGCCTGGAAACAGCAACAGGGAGAAAGTAAGATGCCAGCAAATACCACAATATATTAATAAAAGTGAAGATTCTAAAATTATAATCAAATATTACATTTTAAGCTAATTAAAAAAAACCACATGAGTTAGGTAAACCACATTTTGGTACCATGCACTGGTATTTTAATAACACCAAAGGTGCAAATCAGATTTTTAGGGCTTTCTTTTAACAGGAGCTTTACCAAAAAAATAAGCACTGAAGTTTTAGTGACCTTTTTTTGCTCATCAACACCCAGTGAATCCCACTAACCCAAAAGCCCAGATCACAAGTGCTTTTCCAATACCTGGATTTTGGCTACTTTTTAAAAACGTTTAGGCATTAAAAGTAGGAAGGCCCTTTTGCAGGATAGAAAACAATTACAACTCCTCATAAACTAATGAGTAATTTTATTTAGGGCATTGAAAACACAGGTTTGGAATATTAGAAAAAGACACAGAATTACAAAAGAAAACTCCCTGAAAAGGGGAGGGAAAGCTTTCACACTTACTTTGCTCTTCCAACAGAAAGAGCCAGGGCTCCAGGATTCTCCTTTGGCAAAACCTCAGGGGCATAAACAGCATCATCTGTTCTTGATTCCTCCATGGAGTCGCTTTCTTCACTGTGTGTCTTGAAGAGAAATGTGCATGTAAGGTGTGTGAAAAAACATCTGATGGGAATTTAAAAGTCTGGATTGCATTTAACATCTACCAAGCACACTTACAGCTTTCTGCAAAATATACATTGCATTGCTTCCATTCCAAAATTTTTCAACAGGATTTTTGCAACTGCCACCAACTAATGAGATCTCTACATCAGTCTGCAAAAAGGAAAAAAAATCAAAACTTTTTAACTCGCTCTATAGAGACACTGCATTTCACCATTTTTTTAAGAGGATGGAGTTGACAGGACAAGGTGCAATAGCTTCACACTGCAGAGTAGGTGTGGACTGGAAACTAGAAAGAAATCCTCCCTGTGAGGGTGGGCAGGCCCAGAGCAGCTGTGGCTGCCCCTGCATCCCTGGCAGTGCCCAAGGCCAGGCTGGACAGGGCTTGGAGCAGCAGTGGAAGGTATCCCTGCCATAGTCGGAGTGAAATGGGATGAACTTCAAGTTCCCTTCCAACCCTAACCAGGTTATGATTTTACCTCATAGAAATAGGGATGTTCGGGGATACTGCCCTTTCCTTCTTCGCGTATCCTGAAAGAAAAGAAAACGTTTAGACACACGACCTTTCCCCTCAATACTCTTCGTTAAACACCGGCATTATCCACATACAACAAACACTCCAAGGCTACAACCGGAGCCTCAGCAGCCTCCCCACAAGCGGGGCCAGACCTCCCTCAGCAGAGCAGGGGAGACCCTCAGGCAGTGACCTCGATCCACACCGGTTCAAGAGCCTGGACATCCCCAGGAACAGCCCCGACCCTCACCGGAGCAGGAGCCCGCTCAGGTCGCCGCCCGCCCGGCGCCGCCGCTCCGCCGCCATCGCCGCCCGCCACAGTCGAACCTCCCGCCCGCCGGCGCTACGCGGTGTCCGTGAGGGGAGAGTGACGCGTCACGCCGGATCCCTCCGCCGGAACAGAGTCCCCTGCTTTGGCAGGGAACTGAGCGGGACAGAGGCGCCCGGAGAGCTCGGAATGGCCGCGGCGGGGCCAAAGGAACTTGGATAGAGACGGCGACCGGGGCTGGAGCTCGGTTCCGAACTTGGACTGGGTGTCTGGGGTTGACAGGCCGGCGCGGCAGGAGCGGCGGTCAGAAGGCGGAGGGACATAGACGTATTGACGGGGGTGTGACGAGTCCTTCCTTTTC